AAGTTTTCATTTGTATATTTTTTAGTCTTAAAGATGAATGTAGGGAGTAGTATTTTTAAACAAGGATGGAGCGACTTGGAAACTTTTTTGAAAGTTCTAGGTTAGTTTGCTATAGGTTTAGGTATTTGCTACCCGAATTTTGTGTTAATCTTTACAGACCAGAGGATTTGTGTTTCTCTACATTTATTTAGTTGTTAAATATTTTAGGAAATTGATAATGTCAATGTTTGTGGGATAACCAGAAAGGATTAAATAAAACTTCAAGGTCCAAGGGAAGGTTCTTATAAACTTAAAGATGTCTGTTAAAAAAATGCAACCAGCCAAACCTACAGAAAAATACCACACTTCTTTCTGTATTAACTGTTACAGGTTTTTCATTAAGAAGATACAAAAATAAGGGAATATTGAATGTGTGGATAATGGCTTGGCCTAATGAAAGGTTCAAAGATTGAATCTGAAAGAATATTATTGGCCTCCATTGCCATTTTTGAAACAGAACAGTGAGTCATTTATACATCGTGAAAATTTTCCTCAGGTGATTGTCCTCCTGTCAGAGGATTGTGTTATACATGTAAATATTTACATGTAAAATTGGTTGAAATGAATCAGACAGTTCCTGCTTTGGAATCGCTTCCTCAGGATGTCTAAGGATTCAGCTTTATGGCTACAGCAGCTCTTGGGTATGACCTGTGACATCAAGAGGCCATTCTTCTTAATCTGTCTTCAGTTTTAAAAAATCTATAGGGACTAGCAAAATGCAGCTTCTGGCTAAATCTTGAAAGAACCTGTACAAGTGACCCTCTAGCAAATAACTTTGGAAAGGTGTTGCTTCTTATGAATCTGAAGGTGATAGTGTCCAGGTGAAAGATCTATGCAGGATATTTTCCCATGGATAGTACAGCTCAACCTTGTATTTTAGAGGAGATGGGTGACTTGGTGGTGGATAGAGCTAACTCAAAGAACATTCCAGGTACAGAAGTGCTGTTTGTGTCTTATAAAACAGCTGAATAAAGTCAGTTTGGAAAGTTTCAGTTGGAGGAGGTTTGAGTTGGCACAATTTTTATAGAACACTGTACTGTTAACAGCATTGTTTCTCAAGTCCTCAGCTATAGAAATAGTGTGCTTTGCTTCCAGTTGGCTATAAATATTCTGCCAATTTGGAAACATTAATAAAGTAAGTTTAATATTCAGCCTTTGATTTCCCACAAAGGAGGCATAATTAGCAGTGGAATCTCCTGCAAACTTTTCTGCTTAAAGTTGTAGAGAAACCTTGGTCCAAACTACTCGGTACATTTGCTAGAAAAGCTTGTGACTGAGTGCTCTGTATGCTTGCCTTTTTGCTTCCACCTAGAATCCAGGGCCATTACTTTCTGTAACCATTTCAGTGAGCTGCCATAGTTTTCAGTCTGTACTGTCACCTGATCCAAGCATGCGCCAAAATACCCACCGTTTCTGGCTCCTGTCTGCTGAATCTGCTTCGCAAACCCTTAGTTCTTAAGCTTTTGCCTTAGCAAAAAAACCAACAGGCACTCCTGGAGTGTGCTGGACACATGCCATCCTGCTTCCCTAACTCCTTTAATTGTTTATGTAAATCCTTAGCTTTACTAAACTTGTAAATGCTACGACAGCATCCCCATGTGAAATTGTGTGGCTCATGTGTCAAAAAAGGCTGCTTGTGAAAATATTTGTCAGAAGAATATGAATGCTACACATTGCACTGCATTTAGTGTTTTGTATCAACTTATTATTGCAATGTCATGGTGTTTGGTTTTAATTGTAGACAATTATTTTGTGTTTTAATATGCAAAGGTAAGTTCATGTAAACTGTGAATGTACAGTATTTATATATAGACATAATAATTGTTATTTTTTGGCCTCTTTCTGGAACAAAAAATAATCAAATATCTTAAGCAGAGGTCCCAGTCTTCTTTACAAACAGTTGTTTATGCATGACTCTTATGCAATAAGAAATTATTGGATTATTTTAAAGATATGGGGCCTGGTCCTGTTAACGCTGAAGAAAATGGCTGGAAAACACTTCTTAATTCTAATAAGAATGAAAATTATCCATACATTTCTGTAGTTAATAGTTTTGCTAGTGAGGATATTGAACAGATTCTTAGAATTAAGGGTTAAATGTTGTTTTAGCAAGACATAGTGTTGAGCAACTTCACAACAGTATGTGTTTGCCATAATGGTAGCCTGTTCTTGTAGATGTTAGGTAACAAAATTAAGTCTTTTAATAACTTCAATAGCTTAAACTATAAATTTTTGTGGAGGAAAGCTAAATGTTTGCATAGAATTTGGGACCCGTCACTATTTCTATCTTTTATGTTCACTTTAAGGATCCCTGTTTTCTTTCAACATCTCATTCCATTTCAGTTTTCACTCTGGCTACATTCCTTTTCAATGTCATTCTTGTCTTTATCAATCTTACTTTTATTTCACAGCACTTTCTGTATTCATCCTCAGTCACTTCACCTGTTGCTATCTCTCGACCTGTCATCATGACTTCACATTTTCTTGCATAGGAATGTCACTGGTGATAAGTAGAAGCAGTTTTTGCCACATGGAACCAAAAGGTGTAAAAAGTTACAGTTTGGAAAAATTGGCACCTTTTGTCTAGAAAAAAGGGCATTTCTTCTTTGCAGGTGTTTTCTGTGAAGTACAAGAATTTGTGTGGCTGTTTAGTCAAAGTTTATAACCAGCTGCCTGTGATCCAGTCTCATTGAGCAGGTGATTTTCTGCATGGTCAGAGAACCACTTGCATTGCTACTTAGACTTTTCGTCTATAAGGAGAAACACACTGCTTATCAAAACAATCTCTGGCTCATGACTGGAGGGGGAAAGAGGAATTACTCCCAAGATCCTTATCCATTTAACCAAAAAGAGAGAACTTTCACAGAATGTACTTGTGGTCTCACATCTTCCATGCACTCTGAATTTATGTCAGATGTTATAGCCTGGCCTTACAATCCATTTCCAAAGATTCTCCCTCAATTCAAGTGCCCATACTGCTGTTGCCTGATGGCAGCAGAAGCAGCCTCTGTCCAGAGGTATACATGCAAAGAGAAGACATTTCCCACTTTTTGTACCACAAATGGTTCTGAGAGCTGTGAAGCTGGGCAGCTCCAACCTTGTGTTGTGATGGATTATTTCTGTAGGAATCTCAGTTTCCAAAGCTGAGAAGAGCAGGTGCTCCAGGAATCTGAATGAGGATTGCTGAGTATCATCTTAAGCATTTATTTTCCTAGGCACTGAGAGGATTTAAACAGTGTTTTCGCACTGAGAGTGAAGTGCAGCACCTCAAGATTCTGCCAGTAATGCACTGAAACCCGCTAAAGTAAAGTTGGATATAAGAGAACATGATTGATACAGTTCATAGGAATCCCTTGTTTTGTGTCATAACACGTATATTTTTGTTGATTGCAGAGAACATTCCTAAGAACTCTCACTGTAAGGTTTTTTTTCTGTTCAGTGTTCATTTCTTAAAGCAAAGGTTGAATAAACTTCAGTCTGAACATCCAGGCTGCTGCTGGTCAGCATAATGCTGTGAGTTACACAAGCATTGTCAAATAAAGTTAGGTATAATTGAATATACAAACCTCTATGTTCTTCATTTTTAGTTAGAAAATGATCATTAGTTTAGAAAAATTAAAGCCTAGTTCTAAATGCAAAGTTGAGGTAAAGTCATGAATGAATACATCTTACTTTACAATATTTTTGTTTCAGTAACTTTTAAATTATGTGTATATTTGCATCTTGCATTTTTGTTTGTCATGTTTGTCAGAGAACCAAGTGTATGATAATGTGTTTATCATACACTGTTAATAAATATTCTTGGTAGTACAAAATTGGTTCCAAATAATGGTTTTGACCTTGGATACTTAAATTATGATTCAGCAAGGAGAACTCAGTGGCCAGAAGTTTGTATCTGGGCAAAGTTCAGTTAATTTCAGGGAGATTGTGTAAGAGTATCTCTACTCAGAATCCTTGGTAATATGATTGATTGTTACCAGTTTTCCCTTTTGTATCAACAATTTACACAGTTGCCAACTACATTCATTGAAACAGGTAAGTTTTGAGAGAAGAAACAGCTGACAACTTCTAGTTGTAAATTTAGTATTTGTTGGCTCCATGTTTAAAAAGCTTGCAAGACAGAGCTTTAGTTATGGGAACTAATTGCTGAGCAGGATTGCATGAACTTATTCTAGCAGCACACATATTTTGTAATTTTGTATCTTGTCGTTTTCAAGAAAAGCATATTTTTATATTTAACATATAACCTTGGGAACAATAAAGGTAATTCAGATCCATTCATGGGCATGGCGGGAAGGTGCAGTTTCCAGGATACTGAAGCAAAAAAGCACTGACAGCGTACATCCTATACTTCTTTGTGTTGTAAATGTAGAAGTAGTTTCAAATCCCTATGGGTTCTCACAGTTAGAAGTGCTACAGAATTGTTTGATTAGTGATACAGTTTTGAACAAATATTTTGAAATCCGGATAACAGAGAGAACTGCTTCCAGTAGGAAAAACTGTTGAGGTTATTTCAAAGATATCAAGTGTACAGCAAAGTAAAATATTAGTTTAATACTACAAATACCGTTTCATTACTGTTAGTTTTTCAACATTACAGAGTATCTGTGATGCTTTCTTGCAAGTTAAACACTGCTCTTGTGTTATTGGAAACCGAGAGTGTGGTTTGGAACTAAAAATGGGGAGAGATTGGAACATTATCTACAGTATTTTAGTGTTATGTGTCATATGGACAACAAGAATGTAGTAATTTGTGAGAATCTGCTTACATAGAGGAGAAACAAGATAATTAGTGAAAAAGTCCCATTAGTGTTTCCTTGAATTGTGATAAATAGGAAGGAAATAAAGTGTCCATATTCAAAACACTTGAATATGAAAACCTCAACTTTTCAGATTAATTGCATGAAGCTTTGTGTTGGCATAGTACAGAATAGTGAACTGATTTATACTTTGTCTTTCAGATGAACCAGAGACACGAGATGCCTGGTGGGCAGAAATCAGACAAGAAATAAAATCCCATGCCAAGGCATTGGGTTGTCATGCTGTAGTGGGCTACAGTGAATCAACCAGCATTTGGTAAATCATGATGATGATTTGATTTTCAAAATGCCACAGAAAATGTATTTCATCACAAGTGGATTAAAAATTAACTATTCCAGTATAGTTGTTGGTACTGTCTGTTCTGTAACTACTTTACAGAATTTTAGTGAGATTATGAACGTCCAGTATTAGGTGTTTTTAATATATGTTTAGGTCTGGGTTTTAAGTTTTTTCTAATGAATGTTACAATTTTTTCTTTTAAACTAAAGTCTACAATTTACTTTGTGGCAACAATATTAATTTATGCATGAAGTTTTCTAAATCTAATCTACTTAAATAATTAAGACTGTTCCTAAAAGTATATGTATTGGAGTTTCATTATTGAATAACAACTGGCAGACCAGAACTTAAATGGAAAACTTCACATTTCAGGCCCAGAAAAAGCTCGCCCTGGAGCCAGGTGTGTCTGATAATACTAAACTGAAAATTGCTCTAGTTCAATATTTTGAATAACATTTGGGAAGTAATGAGCAAATTCAATCATCTGAATTTATTTTCTTTCAGGTTGATTTTATGTAAATATTTTAAGGTAAAAGCACTAGATTTGCTTTTTTAAGGAGAGAAGTTGGGAAACTTTTGGTTTATCATATTTACCGAAATTACTCCATCACTGAGGGATGAACACACCAAAAGGAAGCATTTATTCCTTTGCTTGTCAGTCTCCTTGTAAAAAGCATGAATAGTTTGTATTATTTTTTCTGCCTTAACTATGGGGAAAGAATGTACTGTGCATAGACAGGCAATCAGTTAATGGGTTATTTGATGCTTGCCTTTCTCTAAAGGAATTTAATGTGGTAGTGTTTGATTATTGATAAAATATTTATTGGAATTCCCATACTTATGGCCAGTTCAGCTTTATTCCATGCTTAAAGCACAAGCCCATGTGTTTAAGTACTGGTCTGCCAGACATGTTATGAAAGAAAAATTTTGGAAAGAGAAACAACAAATAAAAAAAAGACATGTGTACCAGTCTAGAAAATGTGGGAAAGATTTTCTCTATTTTTTTTCAATATAGTATTTTATATTGAATACTAGAGGTGTGTTTCTTATTTAACAGCTTGAGAATTATTAAAAGTTCTGTGGTCATTCTGAGAGCTTTTAATTCTGCTAAATCCTAAGTATGGTTGGTTACTTTACATGCAAATTGTACCATTATTGTAGTTCTTCCTAATAAAATTTTTACTAGTTTGCCACTTTTTATTGTTCAAGAAGCACCCTTATCAGTGTTGGGTTTTAACTTCATTTTGAAAATTGAATCTTAATAAGATGCTGAGGCTCTCAACTTCCGTTTTACTTTGGTAAAAAAATATGGCTTGTTTTTTGTTGTTGGTTTGGTTTTTTTTAATATTTGGTTGGTTTGCTGTATTTCTTTGCATTGTTAACCATAGAACTGAAAACCATACTTAAACCTGGTTAGCCTTTCTGTTCTTACACTATTTGTAACATGAGACAAAACTCTTAAGTCTTTCTGTTCAATCCTTCTTCATCTTGTACTTGTGCAATGGTTATGGTTTAAATACCAGAAGAGGATTGTTTTTGAGTTTTAATGGATAGAATTGCACAAGTGCACAAAATTAGTGGTGATTTTGAACTTCATTGAGACTTGTACTAGCCCTTTTATCTGATAATTTTATATTAAAGCACCACTAAGTAGTAGGAATTCACTCTGTTGTTATTCTTTTCTCTTATAGTGAAGAGGTCTGTATTTTGTCTGCATCTGGCACAGCAGCTGTACTGAACCCTAGGTTCCTTCAGGATGGCACCATGGAAGGCTGTTTGGAACAAAGGTTGTCATGGCAGCCTGGCTTCTTTTCCATAGGGTCAAAGAAGGGAGAGGTTGATTTTTTTCCTCAGAGCCAAGATAGTTCTTCTCTATTAGGGTAGGTTACAGTGTTACAGTGCAGGATGCGGGACCAACCACTTTACTGCTTTTCACTAACAACAACCACCACAGGAGTAATGGAGCTCTGCACCAAATTAGATACTCTGTTTTTATTTCTAACAGTCTCAATAAGGTAACACGTTTGACTACTAACACAGATCATAACTCAGTTTTTTCCTTCGCTGCTCCTCAGGTCTCTTTTCTCAATTTTTTATCACACAATAAAAAAATGTCAGATGTTTGATAACTTACATAGGCCAAAAGTGGCTGTGTCTGTAATATGTGTATATATGTTCCATTAAATACTCTTTATATGTGGGAGATAAAATAGCTTGGTTATAGAACAGATATGATGCCAGATTTTTCCAAAATAGGTATGTGCTTATTGAAGTTGATGAACAAAATCATGAAACTGAAGGCCAAACATGAAGTTTCCCTTTGTTTCTGCTCTTGCGAATAAAATTTGAAGAATGAGTATTGCCACAAAGTTATTTTTGGAGAATATAAAGATTAATTAATACATATTGGTAATTTATTATGTATTCATCAAGATGGTAATCAAATATTTTAAGGGGTTATTATAGTTATAAACAAGGGTATTTATTACACTTTAGCAACTTTATTACACTTGCATTGCTTTTTCCATAATAAACCAATCAACATAGTATTATTTCTTATTCTTTTACTTTAGCAGAAGACTATTGTCTTCTGGGTTGGATAGCGTTTTAAAAACTGTAGCCACAAGTAAAATACTTCCTTTTGTAGTCACTATATGATGGAGAGAAAGAAATATCATGTTCATAATATAAAGAAAACAGCACTTTTATCAAAATATGTATTTTGGTGCTACTAAGAGTGTTGGCATAGATTAGAGATGCCAGAGGGAGGTAAAACAGGTAAACAGACAAAGCTCATGCTCAACACAAAATATATTTGCCATAGTGTTTTGGTAACTAATTATTCCAAATCTGTCAGATTTGCTTAATGACCCCTTCAAAATCACTGAGAAGAATTGTTTATGTGAAACAGAATAAATTTGCAGTGATGCAGTTGGCCTGTGCTTTCCCTGTTCATATTTTTATAGTGGTCATTCCTGGGTATTGCTCATGGGGGAGAGAGACTATGTGTTCTAAGCAAATAATGAGTTTTAACTGATACCTTATCTTAGGAAATAATCTTGCTCTTCTTCTCACAATGTTAATATATGTTGTGCTGCTTCTCAGAAGGCTGATTGTTTTGTTGTTTGTCTTCCACTCTTATGGGGTTTTGGACACAATGAATGTAAAAGAGATTTTTTTGGTTTGGTACAGTGAATTCTTTGTACAACTGTTGTATCATGGATATATTTAGAAGTTACACTGCTTAAAGCCAGTTCTGTAATGTTACAGCTTTATATGAATTGTTGGTCACTGAATGTCCTTTTTCTCAATCCCTGCATAAGAAATTTCAATGCAAGTTTTATTGATAGCATTTGGGCAAGTAGTGTGCAACCTTTTCTTCTTCTAATTTGTATATTGTAATACTTGTTACGTTGGTATAATGGAGCAGAGTTTAGTTGCAGTGTATGGTTTAAGTAGGTCTCTGTAGATTTTTATACACGTGCACTTTCTGATCATGGTTAACAAGATGCAGATGTTTTAAGTATTCTCTCCATAATGTATTTTTAGGATTGAAGAAGCTTCACCACCAGGTTGTGGATTTTGCCATATCCCATATGATGAATTGAACATGCCATTTCCTGCTCACCTCACTTACTGTTACAACTGCAGGAAGCAAAAAGTTCCTGATGTCCTTTTTACCACAATTGACCTTCCTGTAGAGGCAATAGTTGTTGGAAAGGGATGTCTTATTCAAGCCAGGTATCTGCCAAAATACTTCCTTAGTCTAGTAAAGTTTTGTAGATCTTTGAAATAATTCCTGTTGCTAAAATCTGATGTGTCATCAAACCTTATATTATAAAACATACAATTGGCATGTGTTTTTGAATAAAATTTCTCTCTGGAGATATCATTGCACTGGTGTGGGCTTTGAATTTCATCTTGTTGGACAAAACCCAAAGAGGGGCAGATGACTAATGTATAGTCAGAGGTGGGATTGCTATGCTCTTTGTTTTATTCTTTTCAGATAAATATGGTTAATGCTTTAGCTGCGAGGGCACTTGGGTTTGTTTTGTTTTTGGGGTTTTTTCCTTCCTTCCAATGTGTGTCTTGGATAACTGTATTAATAGGAATTTTAAAAGTTCTAGCGCTAGAAATTACAGTAGTAATTTTGTGTACTTGTACCTGAAATGTTTGAGGCTTGCAGCAAGAGGAATAGATGTTTGCATTGAGGTTCTTACTAGAAGAAAAGCTGAAAATAAAAGTTTTCAGATGACACTGTCTAAGGAGTTCTTGTGAAGAACTGGCATTTTATTTTACTGTTGCAGCAATCTAGAAGAATTGAAAAGAAGCTGTATTAGGTTATACAATGAGGAAAAAAAAAATCAAGATGCCCTGTGATCCCTTTCAAATCTTCACAAATCTGTTAAAGCTCTGTTGTGCTGATTTGTGTTGCCAGATTGTGCCGTCTGAAGAAGAAAGCTCAGGCTGAAGCAAATGCAACCTCTATCAGTAACCTCTTGCCATTCATGGAGTATGAAGTGCACACACAACTGATGAACAAACTGAAGCTGAGAGGAATGAATGCCCTCTTTGGGCTGAGAATTCAGATCACAGTGGGGGAAAATATGCTGATGGGCTTGGCAGTGAGTACAGTTGGAATCCTGAGATTCTTTTGCTTTCTTACAGTGTTTTTTCAGGAAGGCATGCAAGTGTTGTGGGATTCAGAGTGACCGGACTATTAAAACATCATTTTAAGAGCAAGGTATCTTAATTATTGTAAAATCAGGACAGACTTGTCTTTCATAACCAGCAGAAGAAGATTCAAATCTCTTGAAAATGGTAGAAGACAAAATGATTAGTAAGTGGATGAATGTAAAAGAAACTTTGAACAGTTTAATGGCACAAATTGTAGAAAAAATTATGGTATTCCTGTCAAAGAGATCCCTGCTCTTCAAATTGAATTGCAGTTCCATGAGAAATAAGGTCAGTTAAGTCTGTCAGTAAATATTTTGGTTATTTGGCAACAAGGGGAAGGTCTGTTTCCTCTTCTTTGATAGAACTGAAAAAATAAATGATGGATTTGAGAAAGTCAAGAAATGTTCATTAACAATATTTTCTAATCCCATTCTGCCATGCTAGGTTAGAATAGTGAAATATTCTGCTTCTTCCGGCATCAGAGGGTGCTTGGGTAATTCTGGTTGACATCTTCTTTTGTCTTTCATTATTTGTTTCCTGTAAATAGAAAAAGCGTTGTCACAACCTCACTGATTCTGTAAATGGTTTGTCCAAATTTTAGATCTTCTAAAACTTTAAGAAACTATTTACTTATGCAAATCATACTGCGGCAGAGTCTTCAATTTTTAGTTTGTTTGGAATTTTTAGGCAAGTTTAAGGGTTCCACCATGAAAAATGAAAAGGAGGGAGTTTTTTTAAAAGAATAATGAAGATTTTTTTATAAGTGAACAGAAGAGAGAGATCTGTTTAGTTATTTATTGCAACAGATACTGCTGTAATTTTGCTGTAATGCTACAGTGTAGTTTTAGCATAAGCATTATGGAAAGCTTTATATGAAAATATTAGGAATTCATGCTTATATACTTGTCTTTTTCTTCGTGACTTTTAAAAGTCTGCAACAGGTGTGTATTTAGCAGCTTTGCCAACACCTGGAGGTATTCAGATTGCTGGGAAGACTCCAAATGATGGCACCTATGAGCAGCACATATCCCATATGCAAAAGAAAATAAATGATACGATAGCAAAAAACAAGGAACTTTATGAGATTAATCCTCCAGTAAGTAAAGCTTTAATTGAAAATAAAATATTCTGATTCAAATATGTACACTAGATATCTATTTTTTTCTTACTGAGTCATTCAAAATGTAAATTTATTTATGAATAGAGATACAGACTTTTTTCACTGTATTTTGGAGAGCTGCTGGAATTTTCAGATCTCTTTAGCCACACAGACAAATCAGTTTGGTATTATTTAGATATATTTCTCAGTAGTGTAATGTTCAGAATTATATGATCCTTAGAATTGTTACCATATTGTGTAGAGTTGAATTATTTTTAAGCTGGGCAGAACATCTGTTCTTACATTCCTTTTAGGAGTTACCTGAAGAAAGTATTGGGTCTCCCATTCCAGAGCCAAGACAACGTTCCAGGCTATTGAGATCTCAGTCAGAAAGCTCTGATGAAGTTACAGAGCTTGACCTCTCACATGGGAAGAAAGATGCTTTTGTCTTGGAGGTGATAAACATTTTCACTACTTACGTTCATACTTTTCTTCTCCTGAAATATATATTAAAAAAAAAAAAAATCCTCCTAGTCTCCAAGAACAGTTTCTAAATTGTGTACTTTTTCCCTTTTGTATCAGTAGAAGTACTAGATTTTGCTTTGTCTCTCTATTTCTTACTCTATTTGCTTAAAGCACAGCTCTGTCTACAGACTACCTGAAGAAACATTGCCCTGCTGTTCATGGATATGTAGCCATCTCTAGAATAATAATTAAGAGCTGTTAAGAAATGTCCTTCTGTTTGCTTCAAGCAGCAGATCAGACTAATCAAAAACTTAAATTCTATTTTTATAAACACTGAGATTCTGTGTTGTCACACTTTCTATTTAGCAAATAAGATTGTATTTTCTTCCTGTTTCAAAACTCTTACCTTTGTAGTTGAACATTCAGAGTTATTAGTTTCCAGAATTCAAAGCATTCAAAAGACTGATTGTGCCAAGAGAGCACATAAAAGGAGCTTCTCTGAATTTCAGCTGTTGCTTTTCACAATTTAAGAATTCACAGCTTCTGACAATACCTTCCAGTTCTTTCTACAGCTGCAACTAGAAAGAACTACAGATAAATAAAGGACATAGATTTCTTTTACCTCTCTGTTCTCTAAAATTCAAGGATGTGATTGAACATTGTCCATTTTGAAGTCTTTAATACTCCAGCAAGTGTTAAAGGAGTTTTGATTATCCTGTAGATACAGGTAGTACAAATACCTGTCACTGACTAAAAAACACTTCAAAATACAGCCTCTAATTGCAGCCTAAGGTACATTTAAGGTTTTGTTAATCTTCACAAATCACCATCTTCAGAGAAGATAATCTGGAAGAAAGGTTGTAGATAGGAAGAATGAGGGAGCACTATTACAGCGGTTTGTTTGAAAACAGGTATGAAAGGAGAGTGAAAAAATAACAGGTTGGGAGAGTTTGGAATAATAGATTGTTTGGTGCTTTTACAAAAAAGGTTGAATACCTTTGTAAAAAACTGAGGATTTTGTAAGGCATTTATAGAAAAATATACTTTCTATCTGTGCAATCATTTATTACTGTTTTACTTGAGAAATTGGATATTTGTTGATGATTAATTGCATATCAGAAACAATATTCCAGATTTAGTTAAACTGCTGACTAAGCTTTCAAGAGTAAAATTACTAGTCACTGCAGCTATGTAAGAAAAAGTAGTAAAAACTTCCTTGTGATGAGGATATGCTTAAAGAGGCTGAGAAGGCAGTTATAAGAGGTAAAGATATCTGGGTTGGTTTTGTTTAATTTTTGGGTTGTTTTTCGAAGAAAAAAATAAAGACACCCTTTAGCATGGAGAGTGAGAAGGAGGCCCATTACTTGACAAAACACTTCAATACTGGAGTTAAATTATAAACCATTTCTAAAACACTTGATAAGAAAATGCTGGGACTTAGAGGTAAATTTGGATTTCTTGCAGCTCAATAAGATAGGATGGGTGTAAAGACACAGCAGGAGTATTTATAGAAGGTAGCAGGGCTCTCAGTCTGATCTAAAATAAGAGTGTTAAAGGTTGAATGGAATAGAGGTTATTTTATTTCTTTCTGAAACTTTTTACTGGCACAGCAACGTTATTTTCTCAATTATTCCCTTTTTGCAGATTGATGACACAGATGCAATGGAAGATGTACATTCTTTACTGACAGATGTTCCACCACCTTCTGGTATAGTTACAACCATATTTTTGTAATTTATATTGTAGGCTGCAAAATGACAAAATATGACTAGATTTATTTAAAATTATTTTAAAAGTTCCAAAAGAACTGACAATATTACTGTTTCTGAAGATTTTTAGACTGAATTACCAATTTGTAGGTTCCAGGTTAATGAAAGTAGAATAGAGAACTAATTATTGCCTGGTATCAGCTGTCTTTATGCTATTTATTATTGTATAGATAATATTACTTCCCCAGCAGAACCGTTGGATTTAGATTAGAGGCAAATATAGTTGTCCATTATATAGAAACTGCTCTGGACATTTGATTTGTCCTTGTCCTTCCTCTTGTCATAGTGAATTTCCCTGTGTTTATTCTGAGAAAGTCTTAGTTTCCTTCCTAATAACTGATATCAGTATTAATAATTTTGAGTCATGTCAAGCCCAGAACTATCCTTGTAGTTATCCATTCCTATCACCAAATCTTTTATTCCTCACTGATTATCCAGTTCTGCTGCAGTTGATTTTATTGCCCTAAATTAAGGCCATCAGCAATCATCTTACTTTATCCTCTTCTGCATGTAAGTTATTAATGTGTTTGAAGCACAAAATCCAAAATTACAGATGTCTTCATGGTGAAAATCAAGTATCTTTGTCTCTCTTTTCCTAGTCTTATATTTACATTTCATTTGATGATGCTTCATTCTTAGTTTGTTAAAAGAGACCTTGGTGAAAGAACTTTGTAAATGCTTCCTGATGTCCAAAGTAGATGGTATAAGTCAGGTGCTTCTTTCTGTGTGCTTGTTGAGAGCCTGTGAGCAGTGAGTGTTCCTTAGGAAATTGATATCAGCCCATCTGCAGTCTTGTTTTTCCATCTGCTCCTTTCTTGCATGATCTCTCTTTTCTGGAAAAGTTGCTATGGATCAGTAATAGAGGTACCTGTACTAAGGAAATTAGTAGGACCAGCCACATTAGCACCTTAGTACTTGAAGTTTAAAGAATGTTCTTCTCTGGTAGTGGAGTAAGTTAAGAGTTCAGTGTTGATTAGCTGTTTGATCTTTTGTCCATTCTGTGGTTTATAAGAATCTTTCTTTTTCATTTGCCTTTTTGTTCCAATATCTCCTTCAGACACTTGTTCAAGACAAATAAACAAGGGACTGGTTTTCTGCTGTTGTGGAAAGCTCTACTACACTGCTGTAAAAAAAAAAGCATGTTTTCTGCTCTCATGTTACTATTTCTGCACATTCTTTCTAAATCTTACTTGATTTTCCAGCAGAATATCAGCTTTTGATGTTCTCAAAGACAGTCTATTAATATTTATACCCTCTGCAAGCTGCTACACAATTTCTTTTCTAGCTCATTTTGTGTTTTTATATAGGCCCTACCAGATTGGCCTAATTTCTGCTTATTTAACTGTGTATTCAGGCTTTCAGAATCACTGATTTGCTGTTAATAACTTATTTTACTCTGCCATTTAGTCATTATACTTCTGTTTTTAATTTGCATTCAGTCACTATCGTAGTTCCTATACAGCCTTCTGTGCTCTCTGTTAAAGGTTGGCTTTTTAGCTTTTCATATCACACCTTTTTAAAGAAATTCCTCATTTGTGCATTGTTTATCTAATAGAAATAGGTGGAGCAGTTGTGGATTTGGGGTGTTTGCCCCTCCTACAACAATTTTGAATTTTTTTTTTTGAATGTTGATCTCATTTCTGGTGTATTATTCAATATGCAAAACCACATGAGGGAAAATACTTGGAAAACCTTGTCATATATGTTTCCTTTACGAGTATTTTTATATTGCAGTGTATAAAATAGATTTTTTTCCCCAAATATTTTCTTCACAGGTTTTTACAGTTGCAACACAGAAATTATGCCTGGTATAAACAACTGGACACCAGAAATTCAAGTAAGATTATTCAAAATTGAAACTTCTTGCTAAATTGTATTGAAATGTATTGATGTAATCTAAATACATACTTTGAAAGATAAATTCAAAGGACATCCTTATGACAGAAATAGAAGTATTTTGGTAAGAGCAGTAAGGTATGAGAACCTTTTTTTTTTGTTGGTTTTTAAATGCTGTTATGTAACAAATAACCTAGTAGAGAAATATAAAAGAAATTACGGTAAATATGAGCTTCAAGGTTTTATTTTGGCTTTTTTGAAAGGTTTGGCTACGTTTGAAGCCCCTTAAAGTAAACAGATTACTGACTGTTGCTTAGCTAACATATTTTGTTATTTAGTTAACATATATGCTAACATATTTTACATTGTTTTACTTCTTTGTAAATTTGAATTTAAGACACTAGATAAAATATATTGGCATATGTTGACAAAAACCCCCATGTTTGTTTCTAATTCAGATGTTCACAGCAGTTAGAGTGTCCAGATTAAGCAACATTAACCCAACAAATCAAACACTCAATAAGAACTTTAATGATCTCTGTGAGAATCTGTTGAAGGTAAGGATCTTATTTCAAATACTTTTTTAAGTGTTCAAATGGAAGCCAAGTAAAATTCAGCTATACTGAAAATAACATGTGCCTCATAATTTTGAAAATAGACTGCAAAGTGTCCGTAATTATTTTGTGAGTTTTTGTGAAGATAGGTTCAGCCTTTTTTAGTATATTAGGGATTTCCAAAGCTTTTGGAATCTGAAGGAGTCCTTTGACTGGCAGTATACTCTAGAAATAGAAAGACAGCTCCATGGTAGATTGCATTCTGTCCTGACTTTTCACACATGTAATTCTTCAAGAAAATCTTATTATCATTAGATGACTTCTACTATTAAAAAAGTTTTGATCCTTAATTTCTCTGAAATAAATCACACTTTTTTTTTTCTGTGTAACACAAAATAATATCCTGTCTTCAACAGAGTTTGTATTTTAAACTCCGGTCTATGGTTCCCTGCTGTCTTTGCCATGTAAACTTCACAGTTGCTCTGCCAGAGGATGAATTAGTTCAGGTAAGTGAATTGCTGTTTTTAACTTTCAGCACATAGGCATGGCCCTAGCTAATATTTGCTGCTCAGGGTAAACTGGGCTAGGATTTGATTTACTGCTATGTCTGGTGAATTCTTAGAATTTTTTTTCCCCTATTATGTTTCTATGCAAAGAACTGCTTGTTTGCAAAATTATTTTTCAGATTGCGCAAGAGATCAACTTACCTTATATGCCAAATATTTCTGATTTGCAGATTGCAGTCACAGCTGTTGCCATTACATACGACAAACACCAAGCACTACAAGCCAACAAAGCACCTACAGAAAAATCACAGCAAAGAGGTAACTATTGTGAGGCATCTTTCCCTTTTTATCCCCAGTGCCTAATGAGTCTGGATTTTAATTTCAGTTACGTATACAGATGACAGACCACAGAATATTCTGAGTTGAAAGGGACCCAAAAAGATCATCAAGTTCAAATCTACATATTTTTCAGGGAGGTACTCTCAACACATAGAGGTGTTTTAGAATTTATGTACTTGACCTCCAGAAGGATGACTTACTTATCAGTTGGCCAATAAGTACTAGGTACTTATTTTACATAATCAACAAATTTATAGTACTTATTCTTTTTATGATACTACTTTGATTATTTTTCTCTAAAAGGTTGGTTTAACAGATGATGACATTTCTGTTGTATTTTGGAACACGTGGTGTAAATCATCAGAAAATACTTGTTCTTATAAGTAGAAATTTTGTCCATACTTTAAGAAGGCGGAAAGTAAATTATTCATAATACTTTTAAAAAACCCTAACCTTACGAAAATCCTTAAGCAGGTCAGTAATAGTTTTGGAACTCAGTGAAACAATGAAGGGAATGGAAGAGACTACTGTGTTCAGCATATGTCACCTTGCTAATGAAGTACCATCTTAAGCTAGAAATGTATGTGTGCAGTCTGGAAGTGAGAATTCAGAGAGAACACTGAGAATAGTCAATTCTATCATGTGTTTCTAAAACATAAGTTATATCTGACTTCTTCAGTTATAACAGTTTTCTTTCATGTGAAATGATTGCTAATTTTATTATAATAGCCGACTTGGATCCAGCTGCAGAATCAAAATAAAAATGCATGAATGGATTTCATTTTTTTCCTAAATACTTCAAATCCTTTTCAATGGAACAAAAGTTCTGTTCAATGTTGCAGCTGGATTTGTTGTCATACACCTGTTTCTGCAGAATTGCATTACTTTATGCACATGCTGAAAATACCTGTTCAAGTCAGACCTGACTAAATTGACTCTGCTTGTAATTACTGGCAAATCTTATTTTGGGGGTTAATTATCAGTTGGCCGTGTTTTCTTTCTTGAAGCATCTACAGACAATGAAGAACAGCTACAATTTCCCTTGGAACTTTGCTCTGATCCCCTTTCTTCTCAATCATTCTCTCCATCTAAAGGTCAGTTAAGGGGAAGAATGTTAAAGTGTTGTTTTTTATGGATTTTGAATTCTGCTTTTTCATAGTTGTAGAGGCTTTAAAATATCCGTACTTTCACAGGCTTTAAATGTGCTTCACTGCCTAAGCATAATGGGTATATTTACTCCTGTTGTCAGTTTTTTTGAGAGTTGCAGAAGATGGCTTGGCTGATCATTCTGTCTGTATTTCCTGTCTTTGCATTTAGAATATTGAAGGTGCTGCAAACCACTGGGTGTTGGGTGTCATTTGACATAATTAGGCTTGTCACACACTGTAAATGGCCCATATAAAGTACCTCCATGTTTTCTCAGCCTCACATAATTAATCTCATTGTTTTCATGATGTGAAGTACTCTATTTACCAAATACTGGTTGCATGCAAATTTCCTTTAAGTAAAAGGAGCCTAAACTTGTATAGTAAATAATCTGTACAGTGCAGCACATTGTAGCTGCTGTATTTTACCTGCAGTAGAGCTGCATTCCAAGAATGGTTGTCACAGTTATTCTATGACAGCATTAAAAATTCAATTCACTGAAATCAGCTGTCTTTAATTCCTTCTTCCTTGTTGGATTATCTACCCAAAATGGTTACTGAGAAGAAATTAAATATCTGGGAATTAGTGTAAATGTTTGAACTACCTTTTTTGCCATTACATCAATTGTGTGAAGACGGGTGTCTACCACATTTACTTGTATTTCCAGAGGCCAGAGAAAGATTCTTAATGATTTTTATTTTTTTTAATGCTTAACTTTTAATTTGCTACATTTTTTATTTTCAAAAAGAAGCTGTCCAGAAATTTCTGCTGATGTCTCTGTACTCATTACTGGACTGTGCTCCCTTGTATGCTGGGCAATGACAAGTGGAGGGCAACCTGTTCCTGTCTACCCCTTTTCCTGATGTTCTCCACATTCCATATCATGTTGTAGACAGAGCAGTTCAGCCAGAAAATTATTCCATCTGTCATCTCTTCACAATTTCATTGTACTTAGATATACTTAACAGGTTATTTAATATATTTTTACTTTTCTGTAGGATGGTTGTTTTAAAAATATTTAAAAATTGTACAGTAGTGACCTTTAATAAATGAACATATTAAAATTGCAAGGTAGATTCAGTAAAGTGAATTATTTGTACTAACTCTGTTATCAAAGTACACAGTATACTATATAGAGGGTGGAGCTTTTTCATACTTGACTCTGAAATCTTTTATAAGGGTCAGAGAATTGTGGAGTAATTTGGGTTGGATGGGACCTTAAAGATCATCTCATTCCAGCCCTCTGCTCTGGGCAGGGACACCTTCCACTAGATCAGGGTGCTCTGAGCCCATCTAACCTGGCCTTGAAGACTTCCATGGATGGGGCAGCCACAACTTCCCTGGGCAGCCTCCATCCTCACAGGGAAGAATTCCTTCCTAATATCTAATCTAAACATACTGTCAGTTTGAAGCCATTCCCCCTTGTCCTGTCACTCCAGGCCCTTGTAAATAGTCACTCCCATCTTTCTTGGAAGCTGTTGTCTACCTGTACTTCCTGACTCTGCTTTACAGATTATCTGAACAGAATTAATTTTGTTTTATTAGAAGTCCTGGAGGGTGCAAGTTCCCACACAGGTACTCCTGCTGCTCAGAGAGGTGAGTTTCCTTAACTTAGCCATCTGCCAGAACAGAATGAGCATTCTTGGGATATTGGTATACTCTTTTTGGATGTGCCTTAATCCAGGAAGTGTTTACTACTTAACTGAGAATGCATGCTCTGGTGTGGCTTAATGATACCCTAATATTTTGATACGATTTTTCATTATAAAAGTTAGGTTTGTTGATAATTACAGCCTTTCTGTCAGGTACATTGATACAACTTTTTATCTGACAGAAAATGAGTCCTTGGGAAGAGAGCTGTTTTGCCTGTGTTAGTTTGAAGTTAGCATGTGTTCCTCCCGTTTCTTCAGGATTATGAAGAAACGGTGTTTGCAACCCTCCCTTTTTTTTTAAAGATGTGCAAACACCCCTGCAACTAATACCGAAAGTCATAGCAGAAACAACTCTTATTTCTTATTGTAATCATAATGGGAGGGGTGTTGGAGGGAGGATGTTGGGGCAAGGAAGACTGTTCTGATGATTAATTTTTGTTTAAAACAGAGGTGTTGTTTCAGTTTGTGACTCTTACCCTCATCACCAAAGCTTTTTTTTTTTCCTGTCTGTAGGTTAGTTATTGATAAAGACAGTTGAGAAGTTTAAATCCTGATCAGCAGCTGTTTGTAAGGAAAAAAAAATGAAAATGAAAATTAAAAAAGGCTTAAATAAAGTTTAGAAAGCCATAACTTACAACCTTAATTGAGATTTAAAAAAAAACTAATCTAGCATAAGTCCTTAATTACTGTATTTGCATGTTTTTTCAGTGCTGAAGTCCCACTCAGGCAGTTGGTTCAGAGCTGGGATATCACCAGAAATCGGTACTTTGGTTTGGACAAGTCCAGACCTATCCTGTAACTTTTCCTTTTAAACAGACCTGCAAACGGATGGTTGTTCTCTCTCAGACACAAATCATTGCTTCCTCAAAGAGGAGCATTGAGATGAGCAAGAGACATCATCCATATATTTTTTTTCTGTTTTTTTTTCTTTTGTTTTTTTGTCTGTGTTTCCAGCAACGGCAGTTGATTACAGTTCCTTTGCAGACAGATGCAACAGCTGGATAGAGCTCATTAAACTGAAAGCTCAGACCATAAGGCGCGGATCAATTAAGACAAGTAGGCGGCTGTTTCTACCACGTTCTGATAATCTGAGACATATCTCTGATTTCCCAGTGGTGACTTAGAGGAGTGCCCTGCCCAGCAGTAGCATTACAGATCACGTGTAGAATGAATTCCTGAATGTGAAAACTGCTGACATTGTTCTGTAACCTCACTTAGGGATGATGAACCAGTAGCATAAAAAGCAAAAGAAAGTCTTGATGTAATTAGTTCTCCATACATGTGTACGCCTACTAATTGTATAACATCCACTGCATGGATGTAGGTGTATGTATGATCTTGGAAAATTGGGGGTGAGAGAAAGAGGAAGCAATCACCAAGGGGACAGTCAAGGCAGTGGTCACTAAATTAGCAAGTGGTGAGTTGGTTTTCAGTAGTTCTTTGGCCGCAGGTCTGACTATCTTGCTTAAATTACCAGAGATTAATACCTGTTTTAATGGAAAATGCTGCACTGGGGAAACACAACAACTTTCACACTTCCTATAATTTGTTCTTCCAGCAGAATACATGTTTCAAAATGTTGGCACTTTTTTCTTTACCTTCACATTATAACTGATGGTTGTATGTGCAGCTGCTCGCCTCAATGTTTTCCTTTTGCAGGAATGCCACTCTTTCAAACAAAAGCCATTTCAGCTTCTTGTCTCCTTTTGCATGCTTTGCATGATGATTTCCTTTCTCACATATATGGCTGAGCATCACAGGCAGCTGAATGTTGTCACCAAGCTATTTGGAAAACCATAACGAAGAGTTTTTATGTTTTGAGGAACAGTGATGGATCTTGATAGTTATTTTCTCCTATTTTTTTTCCATTTTTCAGCTACTTCCCTTGAAAAAGCAAGTCCATTGGCTGAGGGATACTTACGGCACCGTTCTGTCCCGTCATGCACCAATTCCACTGTCTCAGTTGTTAAGATGACACCTCTTTCCTTTCTCCCTGGGGCAAAAATAACCAAATATCTTGGCATAATCAACATGTTTTTTATACGAGAAACCACTTCTTTGCGTGAGGTGAGCTGTGTGGCAGGGATTCATTTTGTGACAGGGAATAATTTTTTGTTAATTGTAAGAATCAGAGGTTTGAGTTGAGGTGTGGCACAGCCAGGGAGTAGAATTTGTGTCATTTGTGGGAAGATGCTGAGTGCAGAGCCAGTTCCATTGTACTGCTCTAGTCGTGGTGTACACAAAGCTGTTTTGTGTTTGGCACTGCTAGGAAGAGGTTAGTTAACAATTACCATTGCTACTGAATTAGACAGAACACTGAAACAGTGAGTTCTTAAACAGAAATATATGGAAAAAATGTCTTTGACCAACAGTGGTAGAAGTTTGGATAATTTGAACCCAAATTAAGTGCTAAAGAAAAAAATAAGTCATCTATTCTTCCCTGGTTTAGCAAGTTCAGTGATGAACTTTCACAGTGTATTTGGATTTTAAAATTATTTGGTTAATATAACATCGCCCATATCATAAATTATGCTAATTTTTAACATTACATTTTATGCATTCTCTGTAACAAAGCTTTGTGTGATGAGTGTCAAAAATTAAACCATGAGTCCATGACCACACAAGGAACTTAGAGGTGATGTTCAAACCCTGATCTCCAGCCTGCATTGGGAAAACAAATAATCCTCTGAGCATGTGTCTAACCACTACAGCATGTCAAAATGCAAGCCATGTTCCTTATAATTTTCCTGTCCTTTTAGGAAGTAGCTGTATCTTTGCTTTTGGCCACAGAAATAGAGTGTACCTCTTGCCTGGTTTGTCTGAAGAGTTTGCTGTTTTCTCCTAATTACACATTGCTAAAATTACAGGGTAGATGTTAATAAAAATGATCAGGCTTCCTCAGAATGGGCTGTGAGCTCTCTAGAGAAACTTGGATCAGACAAACATTTTGTTTGGATCTTGCAAGTTAGTTTTAACTTTCCCGTTTAACTTGAGAAATCCATGTGTGAAAAGGACAGTCTTTTCAAAAGTATGTCAGCAGGGAAGTGGTTACAAGACATTCCTGTACTAAGTGCAGATTCTGTAGGTACAAATTCTCAACAGCTGATAAGCTTTGGTATCTGTGATAGCAGATCCCAACAAGGATAGGTCACTCAAGTGTTTGATTCAGTTCCTTCATGAAGCTGGAATGTTGCACAGTCCCTGGGATGCTGTGCTCTTTCCAGCACCTAGGGGAGCTAATTTATTTCAGCTACCCAGGCTGAGTCACAAACTACTCTTACTATAGGATTGCCTTGAGTTATAATGGAGTCAGAACAGAGCAGTCATTATCTCCAACTCCAGCAATGTGGTTCAGGTCCTACAAGAAAGTAATGACCAGCATTTTTGTTTATATTGCTTTATGTTTTGCTTGTGGCAGTGCTGAAGTATATACCAGAATAAAAAATTAATGATAATTTCAAGTCAGATTAATCCATTGTTCTTAGGCTTTGCTGTTTACAGTGGGGTGTTTACAATAGTTTGGTTACCTGTTGTCACCCAATGTTGTGTTAGTTTTATAATACATATTATTTTCCCCATCAGTTGCTGTACCTTTAAAAGACTTGGACAAAATCAAAATTGCATTTTGATTTCTTGCTGTAGTTGACTTCATTATGGCTTTATGCTGGATTTGATAAAATTATACCTGTCCCTTTTGTTTGTAAATTTTCATCCAAGATACGTTTTTTTAATGCCTTTATGAGTCTGTTCAGGGAACATTATAATTTTACGAATGAGCAAAACCCTTAGAAATTCAGCTTAGCTCAGTCTCTTCATCTACCTGCTTCTTCCATTTTTTCCAGTGGCGCGCACACACACACATACACACATACACACAGAGTCATGTGGAAAGTCTAGTGGTCTTGCCTTTCACTTGAATTTTGAAATTTTATATGTATTTTGAACCAACAGTGAGCTCTGTTTTGATCGGTTTCTTTTCTCAGCATTTTCTGTGGATTTTTATTTCTTTGATCGGTTGCCTGTTTTGTGTGCAGTAGATTTTTCCCCACAATGTAGTTGTTCATATTCTTTTATAAGGACTTTTTAGGAAAATCCATACTTGGTTGCTTTCCTTCTCCTTTGACATCTGTTTAAATTCTTCAGTTTTGCACCAAAGTAAAAATGCTCCATCAAGTCAAAAAAATGAATGAAATGAGATGGCTAGGAGTTCCTTTGTGCTTCAAGGGGGAAAGTAAAAAAAATTAATAGCTTGAATAGCTCAGGTCTCTTCTTTACTCTTTGCTTACTTTTTATTTTGAGGGGTCATTTGTTTAGTGAGAGAGCTAATGACAGTCATTAACATATGTGTAGTTGCAGTGATCAAAGGTAATGGTCACTCCTTACTGGGAATTTCCAAGAATTTTATGCAACCATAGAATGGTTTGGATTGGAAGGGACCTTAAAGACCCTCTTGTTCCACCTCCTTGCCATGGGCAGGGATACCTTCCACTATCCCAGGCTGCTCCAAGCCCCATCCAGCCTGGCCTTTGATGCTCCAGGGATACAGGGGCAGCCACAGTTCAGGGCAACCTGTGCCAGGGCCTCACCACTGTCACGGGGAACAATTTCTTCCCAATATCCAATCTATGCCTGTTAATCTGAAGCTATTCCGTCTTGTCCTGTCACTCCAGGCCCCTGTAAATGGTCTCTCTCTGATTTATAACTGTGACCCATTACACAGTGAATGGGTTTTAAGTTCTCCACACTTAAATGGAGATTAGGATTCAGTAAATTATTCAGCTGATAAATATGTAAGAGAAGTACTCAGCATCTTGTAGCTAGACATAATATAATTTGTAATGTATATTTTTTCCATTCTAGGAGGGTGGTGTCAGTGGTTTCCTCCATGCTTTTATTGCTGAAGTGTTTGCCATGGTGAGAGCTCATGTTGCAGCTCTGGGAGGGAATGCAGTTGTGTCATACATAATGAAGCAGTGTGTTTTCATGGAGAACCCAAACAAAAATCAGGTACATTAGTATGTGAAATAACAAGTGCTCTTGTGGTTAGTATGATACAGATATGCATTTTATGTCTTTAAAAACCACCAGTGCTGTAGAACCAAACCTGCACAACATTTCTTGATATCTTGGGATATGTTTGAAGAATCCAAGAGTGTTACTGTATTAACACAAAATTATGAGGATGCTTCATAAATACACAGATGGATAAAAGAACCAAGCTTGTTAGAATGAAGTAAATTGCAGGAAACAGTTGCACAGTAGTGCAGAACTTACTTGGTATTTATGATGTTGCAATGTAGGATTTCCATCCTAACTCCATGTAAAAATACCTGGAGTTGCTGATGTAAAATGCTACACTTTGTACATGAAAAGACAAACCTTAATTTGTAAAGACAATAACAGAATATTCAATAAATTAAATATGTTCAAAACAGTAATGAAAGCTAGTACAGATATCCAGATATTTCATCTGTGGGTGGTCTTCCAAGAATCCATCTGCATGTTTGGTAGCACATAAGTGAGCAGATAGAGAAGAAAATATAGCACAGGTTGCCTCACTAATAAATTCTAATAATTTGTCCTTCTCCCAGTCTCTGTTGATTTTTCTGTGTAGTTATATTTAGCAGATATAAGTAAACAAAAAATATATTATTGTTTAATGTTTGGTAACTGTGTATTGTCTTTTTTTTCCAGGCTCAGTGTTTGATAAATGTCAGTGGTGATGCTGTCATCTTTGTCCGTGAATCTGAGCTAGAAATGCTGCCAGTGCAGCCTTCTACAGCTGCTCCTCAGCCTGCAAGTTCTGCAGGAGATGTTACAACATGAAGGCAGAACAAGTGAAGTAGTCTCTGCAAAATGTAAAGATTATTTAAAATGTGGGACTGTTCAGGTTTGCATCTTCAAAGTCAGTATTTCTCCGTGACATTCACAGCCAAAATCCAAGACAATCACTCTTTTTTTGTTGTCATATAACTTACATAAGTCAGAGCAGTGAACTGGCAGGTGTGCTCTGGTTCTTCTATTGCTATTCCTGGCCTCTGTGAAACCAGGCAGCAGGTGAAGCACTGACAGGAGAACATGGATTACAATAGCAGGCATCACATGGAACTGTGGAAGGAAGGAAAAATTCTGTTGCTTTTTTGAGCTGTTCAGTGGGACCATCATAAGTTGTCATTCAGAACCATTTCTGAGTTTGAGTGTTGTCTGGGCTGATACTCAGCTTGGGTCAGGGTGGGAGGGAGGTGCCTGTGTGTTGGAGACCTTTGAGGAAGAAAGGAGAGATTTGTGTGCAGGCCAAGAAAACATAGGCTGGACTCTGAAATTCCTTTCCACCATAGAGTGTGAAGAGGAAAAAGCAGTACCAAAAAGTTAGGGTCTGAATTTCTGCACATTAAAAGTATTTTTTTCTTGTTTTGTTGTTGTTTTTATATTTGGGGGTGTTTTTTGTTTTTTTAATTGTTCTTTAAAAGCTGACAGACCACAATGCTGTGATCCTGAGCATCTCTGTGGTGGGACAAAAAAAAAAACCCAGAACACAACAAAAAGTTCCAGGGTGTGCCTGGTGCTATTATAAGATGTTCACTTCAGTATTCACAAAGCAGGTCTTTTTGTTATTTAAGACTTTGTGAAAGAATTGTCCTGAGGTTCATTTTCTTAAGGCAGGATCTGTTTCAAGGACAACATAAACAGTCCCTCAAAACTCAGTTGTGCAGAGGTTATTCTGCAGCCTCCTTTCTGTTTAAATGCCTGGCTAACTGGAGATTGATGTGTGTGTGTGACACTGGTTCCTGCAGGTTGCTTTTGTGTTTGGGGTTTTGTTTGGGATTTTTTTGTTCTTTTCCAGTGCTGTAGCTGGGAAATAAGGGTACTGCAAAGACAGGAAATTTGTCATTTCCAGTAAAAATCTGAAAGGTGATACTCTATTGTAAAAAAAAAAACAACCAAAAGAACACCAACTTTTATTTGAAGATGCATTCTTGCTTAATTCTGACAATATTGTACATGGAACTTGAACAAAGTTGTAAACTTGAATGTAAATATTCTGTTCAGTGTTGAAATTAAGCAATGGCATGATTATTTGTTAAAATTAATTATTTCATTGTAAATGAGCATGAAAAATCATTCTTGCACATTAAATCTCTTTATAAAATCCACTGTCTTAATATATGTGCATTAAGTAAATCTGTAAGATGGGTGTAGCAAGGATGTCCCACCCCCATTCTCCTCAGAGGAATATTTTTTTGTATAGCGTGTTACAACTTCATCTGTATCCTGGGCCGAAAATTGTATCCCAGGCTGCATCCAAAGCCCCATGGGCAGCAGGGGCAATCCTGCCCCACTCCGGTGAGACCTGGCCTGCAGAGCTGCATCCAGCCCAGGGGTTCCAGCACAGGAAGGACGTGGAGCTGTTGGAGTGAGTCCAGAGGAGGCACCTCTGCTGTGAGGAAAGGCAGGGAGAATTAGGATTGTTCAGCCTGGAGAAGAGGAGGCTGTGGGGTGACATCATGGTGGCCTTCCAGTGCCTGAAGAGAGCCTACAAGAAGGGTGGAGAGAAACTATTTACAAGGGCCTGGAGTGATAGGACAAGGGGGAATGGCTTCAAACTGACAAGAGAGTAAGTTTGGATTGGATATTAAGAAGAAATTACTCCCTGTGAGGGTAATGAGGCCCTGGCCCTGAGGTTGCCCAGGGAAATCGTAGCTGCCCCATCCCTGGAACATGAGGTTGGATAGGGCTCAAGCAACCTGGTCTAGTGGAAGGTGTCCACCCCCAGCATGCACCAAACAACCCCTGAACACCCTCCTCAACACCTCCTCTCTCCTGCCAAAAGATGAACTTTTGGAAGCTATTCCAATGCAGACCACTCTATGATCCTGTAATTCTAATATTTTGGGAGTTAATTATCCTTTATATTGTTTGAATTTGGCCCTTAACAGAACACATAACTAACACAGTTAATCATCTTACTAAATTCTGTAGCTGTTGCAACCAAAGCTGCCATGAATTAATTTGCCTGTAAATAGTCGCAGCTCTTTATTACTTGCAAGGCAAATCTTGTTTCCCTTTGAAGCTAATGGCAGAATGTGAATAACTTCAAAAGGTCTTGGATCTGGCACAAAAAGTTGTTTCCAGCAGAAGTATTCAGCATGAAATATCTGAAGTAGCACACTGAAGTAGCTGATTTTGATTATTTTTCCTTTTGAGGGGTGGTAGTTGCTTCTATGGAAGCATTAATGCCATCTTTTCATTTCTAGTTGTTTAAATGTCACAGCTTTTTCTAGTGTGTTTCTTTAGACATAGATAAGCCTTCTTATCTAGAAATTTTAATTCTTCTCCAATTATTATTCCAGAAGTGACAGGCACTGTTTGTACTGTTACTTAAATAGCGACTTAACTTTTCTTAATTGGTCCATCTGAATAAATATAACTTGTATTAGTATTAGAAAGGTATAAATTTCATTGATTGAATTTCAGTGATTGTAATTTTTTTTGCCTCCTGTATTTAAAAAATGCATTACTGTGTTGCAACTGGAGAACAAGGAAGAGCCTCTGCAGATGTTGCTGGTGCTGCTTGGTGGTTCTTTCCTCACCTTGCTCTAACCACCTCTATTTTAGGAGCTACCTGGTTTTTGCTAAGCTCAGAAGTGGGCAAGAATAAACTTGAAGGGAATTGTTGGTTTCATGTTGCAGTCCAACAAGTTCTGTGCTTTAGGAATGAATCTTCCCAAATAATCATTTACTCAACTAAAAGCTTGTTTTCACAGCTGGTTGGAAAGTCCTCTGTTGGGTTTTTTTCTATGTTAACCTTTGAGTTTGTGAATCCTGATGTGCACATGTGAAAGGTGCAAAGTGAGAGCACATCTCCCCTAGTGAATGGTGTGGGGTTGATTGTTCCCTTCTTCCCAAGTGGCATCAATTTTTTTTTCTTGATGTTCAGTTTGAATCAAAATTTCCTTGGAAATGAATCCTGAGGGTCTGGTTCACTTTTGTCAGACTGGAAGGCTGCCCTGCACCTAAAGACTTGCTGGGAGGTGGAGCCATGAAAAGAGGAGCAGGATGTATGCAGGGAATTACAAACAGTTGCAAAGAGTGAGGCATCACTGGCTGTGAGGTTTTTGGAGAGTTCTCAGTTCCCTTTAGGTGTTCATATAAGGATGGATGGAAGTTTTCATGACTGATCTGAGTAACAATTTATTTTATTTTTTTTTAATGCAAGGAACAGCTGTGCTGCTGTGGCATCTGCAGGTTCAGAGGTTTCCAGTAGCAGGAAAGGACTCTCAGGGACTTCCCAGGGCTCTCTTCCATGCACAGGCTGGCTTTCTTCCCAGGTTTTTGAGAAAGTCAGGTGCATAAACCCTGCATGGTAAGAGAGCAAGCCAGGCTCCTGCTCCTGCTTGTACAAACAACCCCACCAGCTAACACTTCCCATGAGTGACACCTCCAGTGTTCCACAGAATGGGTTAGTGGCATTTCTCCACTTTACAGCTACATTAACTGAGATAGACAGGGGAGAATCAGTGTGCCAAGGATGTTTTGACGGCTGGGGAAGAAGCTAGTCTTGCTCCATGCATCACCATCATCCTTGTGAGTAGTGTAACAAATGACAATCAGCCAAACACAGATCTGAGTGGTGCTGGGTCTGCTGTCACGAACACATCTGAAAAACAGTCTGCACCAATACAGCTGGTAATACAGAAATTATTTACTACTAATAATAATCTACTGTGTGCATCAGTCAATGGGCAAATTGCTGAGCAAAATGTGGAGTCTGATTTTTTTTGTTTAATTTTTGGAAACAGGAAAAATAATTAATTTGTACATTTTTAAGCATAAACATGCACACTCTCATAAAATGACACACATTTATTTTTATTGCAAAAACATTTCCATTAATGTGTACAGATATTTCTCCTTAAATTGTAGGAAGAGGAGCTGGAGTGATTCCAGTTTTGGCTTCATTTTCCTAAAATCAGATGTTTGTAACACTTCAATCAAGGTGAAGCTTTGCCTGGAAACCTTGTGATTTTTTGAAATGTCAGTGTGATTACAACCTTGTGAGCCGAATACTAACCCTTAAAGAGCTCTTAAATTTTGAGGGAGTGCAACAGAGAGCCTGGGAAGCTTTGCAGAGATGACATTATCTCCTGGCATGCACTGTAAAAGCCAAGGAGCAGGTGAAAGCACTTGGAGGCAGAAACCCTTCCTCTTCCTGCCTTCCCTTTCTGCCCAATCTATCCATGTCTGTCCTCTCCCTTCCAGGCACCTTCCTTTCCTGGGATTAGCCCTGGGCTGCACTTCCTCCTGTCTCTGGAGAGTTTGGGTAACCACAATTAGTCAACAACACATGCATTTACCTTCTGCTTTTGCTCAACACAGGGGAGAGGAACTTGTCACATTTCCATTGGGAAATGGTGGATTCTGTTCCAACCTCTTGTGGGATAGCAGAGTTCTCTTCATTGCCAAGCTGTAATTCAATTCCCAAAATTTTACTGAAATTGGTGATCTATTTATACTTGGGCCTCAGCTCAAGTGCAGTTCTCAGACCAGGTGCTCTTTGCATGAGGGGGAATGGCTGAGAGGAGCTAAAATTATGAGTTGCTTGTTATTAAATTGTCCTTCCTGTGTTCCCTGGTGCCCAGCTCCTGCCCTGGTGCTGTGAGCTGCTAGCCTCAGCACCAATTCACTCTGTCACTTGGAGCTCTGTGTGCAGAGTGATCAGAGCATGCTGCTCCAGAGGGATCCCTTTTTGTGTCAGAAACCTGCATAGAGTCACTAAATTGCTACTTGATGAGTGTCAGCTGTGCAACCCACTTGTGGAGTCTGGGGAGAGAGTGAAATCCTGCAATAATTGTCTGTGTCACAGTTTTGTGTGGCAATGTCAGAGCACTGTTAGTTGAAGGTGAAATGCTCTTGTGTGTCTGGTACCATGTTTGACTGGCTCTACAGCTATTAGCAGAGCACACCTGAGAGCCAGCAAACAGGTCAGAAGAGTTTGTTGTCTCCACACTATTTCCTCTGCAGAAGATAAAGAAGGGAAAGGCAGGAGATGGGCTAGATGAAAGAAGATGATATGGGCAGGAGGAACAAGAGAAGAGCACAACATGGTGCTGAGTGTCTACCAACAAAAAATGACAGGAAGGAAAATTGGTAACTGGAGACACAGATGCGTGATGGTTCCCCAACCAAAATAAGCAATACTGGAAGTAAAGTAGCAGTCCCAAGCTCCTTCTCACTCCTAGGGCTTCATCAATTTACATGGGTTTGATCAGTCTTCCCAAATACTGGGCTCTGGCCTGATCTGCTCCTCCTAACCCATGTTCTTGTGACTTCCTGGCAGGAAATAACAAACTTATATATAGGAAGACACAGTGTTTGGGTATAAAAGACAGGTGTCTTGCCAACTTGCCAAGGAAAGTGGGAACCTTCCTTGGATGGAAAATGTGACCCCCTTCTCTCCTAATTATTATAATTTTGAAATTACGGGGCTTTTAGGCAAACATATAAGAAAATTAACAACAGTTCTTTGCATACATATATAAAAAACAAGATGAAAAACAACAACAACGGCAGCAACAACACCAAAGCCACAAACCCAGTGCCAGCCCTCTCTCGGCCGCAGGCACTTTCCCTTTGGGTGCAGTTCCGGGCACGGCCGGCAGGGGCGCCGGTGGCTCCCGGCCGGGCAGGGCGGGTGCGATGATTCCCCCGCGGCTGCAGGGGGCGCTGTGGCGCGAGCTCAGCCGCCTTTCTGCACGCGGTAATGGCGGGCGGGATGGAAAAGGCGCTGCCTTTGCAAACCCACGGGGGCAGCCGGTCCCGGTGCCCCTCTGCATGGCGAGATGGGCTGTAGCAGGAACCTCGGAGCCACAGCTGGAACGGCAGCGATGACCGCACCCAGGATAGCAAACAAAGCGTAGCAAAACCCCCGGAGCGGTGGCAGGAGCAGCGGGCATCAAGGTGGACATGGGGTATCAGGTTAAAGTGTAGCAGAAAATCTGAATCAGTGGCAGGAAACAGCAGGGCTGGGCACTGGTGGCTGGGCTCTCGCAAGCAGCCGGGAGGTGGGGGAATGGGTAGGGCTCTGGGCTTCCCTCAAGGCATCC